TTTTTAAAATCCCGGCTCAGTAAGCACGCAGTAACACTCAGTAGCGCACTCAATCACAACCTAAAACAGCACATTTTTAAAATCCCCAGGCTCAGTAAGCACTCAGTAGCACCCAGTAGCACCCAGTAGCACCCAGGACCTCTCAATCACCCCAAGAACACAGCACATGGGCGATGCAGGCTCAGCAGACGGAATGCGCGGGCTGCTGAAACAAATGCGAAATTCCCGTGCATGATTTGCCAGCGCCTTGCTCTGCTCGCTTGAGAGCCTGCGCTTGCCTCTGAAGCATGGCGCTTCGCATAGCCTGAGGCCAAGCCAAATTAGATGGGTGTGGGCCTGTGACAGCAGAGGTCAGCACATGCTGACCGTCTCGGTGAGGATCTGCTGGCACCTAAGCTGAAAGGTCGCAATGAGCCCCTTCGCTGGCTTTGTTGCTTCCAAGCAACCGAGCCGTTGACCGCGGAGTTGCCTCTGGCATCCGGCGCATCACTGCGAGCCTTGCTGGGGGTTGACAATGGGAAGTCTCTCTCTGCTCAGCAGATCTCTTGACATCTCCTGACACGTGACACAGTGACTGAGACGCGGACCGCATGCTTGGGTGGCAGTGCTGCCGTGCTAAATGGTGAAACATAATTGGACTGTGCCACCCCTTCAGGGTGGTCTGATTCGGAGATATCTTGAAGCCCAGCAGCACCCGAGTAGTCTATGGTGCTGCAATAAGCTTCAGAACATGGTGTCCCATCAGGGGCATGTGTTGGTTTGTCGTCTGCCAGCGATGTGCCAAGAGGCTTGCTCTGTGCAACTTTCGGCTGCCCTCTGCCGCTCTGGCTTAACGAGGAAAATCTGCCTTGATTGCTATGCCTCCTTTGCTGGTTGCTGGCTGCATCAGCAAGGTGGGATTGTGGCTGATACGGCTGATGTGGCTGATGCGGCTGAAGTGGCTGAGGGTATGTTGAAACTTGCCCCAAGCGGCTGTCACGCGATTTGCGCCTGACATCAGCGCCACACTCCTCATCTTCGGCGAAACCCCAGCCCCCGGTGGGCCCAGCATCTGTGCGCCCGCTCTCCGCCAAACTTGCCTGGCTGCTAAAGCTACTGGCATACGGCATCTGCATCCTATCCGGCGTCGGACACCCAGCTGGTGGCCAGGCTTCGGACTTTTGCCACGGCTCCTGAGCACCTGAAGCCAAGGGCGACCGTTCGGTCAGCCGTGGTGGCGACCGTCCTGACCGTGGTGACCGTGGCGACCCTCTCTGCGACCAACGCAAGGGAGATGGAGGTGAAGCAGCCGGGAAGGTCTGCTGAGGTGGTTTTGGTGGTTGAAGCTGGGGCTGGAAATAGCTCGAGGAGTATGCATTGGAACGGCTTCCGCCTATCCTAGCACTCCTCTCCTGCTCGTTCATGGCTTGCTGGAGTTGTTGTGCCTGCTGCTGTGCCTGCTGCATTCTGGTGCGAAGCATGGTCTTATGATTTGCCAGGGACTGTCGGTCAAGCTTCCCCTCAAAGCCTGGAGCTGCAAATTCGAATTGGCGAGCAGCCAGCTGCTGACTTGCGGCACTTGGAGCTTCGATGGCTGGCGCCATATGTATCACCTGCGGAGCTCTGGCAGGCTGCCTGAAACGAGCTGGTGCCTGAGGTATCCTCTGAGGTATTCTCTGGGGGTTGCTGTGCTTGGGGCTTTGTGTGGTGCTTTGTGGGCTGACAGGTGGCGGATCAGGAACAGTGCTGTCGCTCAAGGCCTTAAGCTCCTCGGCAGCTGTCTGCTTCATTTCCTTGCTTCTGGTGAGAAAGTTGTGCTCGCTTTCCTGTAATTGCTGCAGCAGCTGCACTGGCGTGTCTGCTCGTTCTGCTTGCCCCTCCACCGGCACAATTGCCACATTTGGCACCGTCATCACACCTGTCGGGGACTTGTCTGCGTCGTCCTCGTTCTCAACGCTTGTGACGCTTGTGGCAGGCTTCAGCATGGCTCGCACCATGCTGACTTTGTTGATCGCTCGCCGGATCGAGTCCTTCAACCCCTGTTTGCGACTACGCCCCTTGCCAGCCGCGGACACTCGTTGCATAAACATCAGCCGCCGACCGGCTCTGCGAAACTGGCTCTTCAGAGTCTTAGCATCACAAAGGGCGCGCACCTTTGCCAGGTTTGCATCCACATCCTTCAGGTAATGAGAATCCTTTGCCACATCACTGAGGACTCGCCGAACATGCTCCAGCTGGTCAAGCACTCCTTGCTCGCAAGGCAGTCCGACAAGGAAAGCCCACACACACACACACACACACGCACACGCACACGCACACGCACACGCACACGCACACGCACGCACGCACGCACACACGCACACACGCACACGCACACGCACACGCACACGCACACGCACACGCACACGCACACGCACACGCACACGCACACGCACACGCACACGCACACGCACACGCACACGCACACGCACACGCACACGCACACGCACACGCACTCGCACACGCACACGCACTCACGCACACGCACACGCACACGCACACGCACACGCACACGCACACGCACACGCACACGCACACGCACACGCACACGCACACGCACACGCACACGCACACGCACACGCGCACGCGCACGCGCACACGCACACGCACACGCACACGCACACGCACACGCACGCACGCGCGCGCACGCACACACGCACACGCACACGCACACGCACACGCACACGCACACGCACACGCACACGCACACGCACACGCACACGCACACGCACACGCACACGCACACGCACACGCACACGCACACGCACACGCACACGCACACACACACACAACACACAACACACAACACACAACACACAACACACAACACACAACACACAACACACAACACACAACACACAACACACAACACACAACACACAACACACAACACACAACACACAACACACACACACAACACACAACACACATACACACATCATATACACACACAAAACACATACACACATATCATATACACACAATGTCAATTCCTTTCCCCAATCACGTTCAAAGAACAGGGACCAGAAACACGCTGCTTGCCAAGTGGCTCTTTATTGCATCCATGGCAACGAGCTGCTCTTTCGGGCTCAAGCAAGCTTCCAGGTCCTGAAACCTTGCTGCCAAAGTTTTGGCCTCCTTGTAGCGCTCAGCGACCGCCCCCTCCAGCTCATTCATGACCTTGCAGGCACTTTCTGGTCGCATGTCCTTTTCTGGGCTGTGTTTTGTGCATTTCGAGTTTGGCTGAGGCTCCCACCAGGAGATTGCGAAACTTCTCATGCATTAGCTGATCTTTGCTCAACTCTTTGGTTAAAGAGAAATGCTTCATCAAATCTGTAGCGGTGCTGGCTGTCAGGGTGGCTCGGACGCCCTGGGCAATGGCTCCGGACGCCCTTCTCCATTTCCAGGCCGCGTCTGATGTTCCGCCGGGCACAGCCAGCGACTTCCGAGCCTGACTGTAGATGCAGCGGCTCTTCGCAATGTCGCTGATCTCGGAGCGGTAAACATCAGGCACCTGGAGAGTCTCCATCCATCACAAGGTGCAAACCCATTTGCCACTACATGGCAGGCGGCGATGACTTGAGGAAATGTGGCTGCACCAGGTCAAGTCACACCTCCTGCAACGTGCCCCTCTCGGTTTGCTTGACTCACGTCCCTGCCCATGCTGTTCACATTGCCGTGCTAGCTGCTGGGTTGCCAGTTGCCTTCTGCAATTGGATCCCACCATCAAGCTGTCTAAGTGCGCTGCACATTGAGAATAGTTCGTGCCACATGGATGTTCAAATGACCTTCGTTCTGGCCCAGAACTGATCAAGCTGGCTTTCTGCGTGCCGCACAGCACTGTTGGCGCCTGTCGTCTTTGTAATACAGCTGGCGATATCACCACAACACCTCAATCATGACACCTGTTTACCTTCATCCTGTCATTTCAGAACTCAGCTAGTGCTGATGCGGCTGACTGTCTTTATCATGGCAAAAATCATGCCAATCTGGCAATCTCGTCTTGAGGTGTCTTTTCGGCTTACTCCTGCTCGCGCGCACGCCGGGCAACCAACTCTTGCATCAACGATGGAAAGCTCATCACGGAGTTGCGTGATTGCGAACGCGGGCTTGAGTTCAACCGTGAGCGCGCTGCACATATCAGCAGAATGTATAAAACCCAAAGGAATGTCAGCACTCGAAATGCCGTCCACAAATGGGGGCCTTCTGCAGCCCAGGGCTCACGCGTACAGCTCCATGCATCTTTTGGCCCAGGGATGCACTCACAATGGACTTGGCTGTGCGAATGGGACTGTCCGTCAACTGCAAGCAAAAAGGAGCTGTATAAGAAGCTTGTTCATTTTGGCCGGAACTTCTTGGGAAAAAGACAGAGACGGAGGCAGGGACAGAGACGGAGAGGGAAGGAGACAGTGAGGGAGAGAAGGAGTCAGAGTGAGAGAGTGAGGGGGAGGGGGAAAGAGAGAGAGAGAGAGAAAGAGAGAAAGAGACAAAAAAAGAAAGAAAGAAAGAAAGAAAGAAAGAAAGAAAGAAAGAGAGAAAGACAGAAAGAGTGAACGCGAGCAAGATTGAAGAAAGAGAGAAAGAGAGAAAGACGAGAAAGACGAGAAAGAGAGAAAGCTAGGCAGAGAGAGCGAGAGAGAGAGAGAGAGCTAGGCAGAGAGAGCCAGAGGGAGAGGAAGAGAGAGAGAGAGAGAGAGAAAGCTAGGCAGACAGGGAGAGAAAGAGAGAGAGAGAGAGAGAGAGAGAGCCAGGGCGAACAAGAGCGAGAAACGAAGAGACAGAGAGAGAGAGAGAGAGAAAAAAAATAAAGATAAAGATAAAGATAAAGATGAAGGCAGAGAGAGAAAGAGTGAGTGAGAGAGAGAGAGAGTGAGAGCGTGACAGAGTGAGAGAGTGAGTGCGTGAGAGAGTAAGAGAGTGAGAGACAGCCACACAAACGGAAAAGCAAACAGACATTCTAAGCCGGCCAGCAGGCAATTGCAGCCAATTGTTCTAGAGAAAGGGGAGCACGGCGAACGTGGCAACACTAACCAGACGGCGCCCCGAATGTTGACACTTTTTTCCGAGCTCAAGGATCCTCAATCGACCTACCATGCCACTCCAGCCTCTGGTGTATTCTCTTTTTCCGCCAGGTGATTCGCTGCAAGCTCGTGCCCAACAACGCCGCGGTCTCACCCGCTCCGGGAAGCAGCCTGCTTTCCGCCGTGAGTTTACTGGTGCTACGTCTCGAGTTGACTGGCGCGCGCCTGCCGGCGCTTCGGCCCAAGACTTGATCTCGCGAGTCTGCCTCGTGCAAAGGCTGGATTCTCGAGGCAGAATTCCCGTGTCCCGTGTCCCACGCCTGGCCGCGGGCGCTTTCCGCGAAGCCTCCGCGAGTGGGGGCAAATGCGTGAAAATGAGCAAGGTAAGCTGGTGCCTCAAGGGGCTGGGTGCAGGCACATACATATATGACATAATAAACACATGTATGTATGTATGTATGTATGTATGTCTGTCTGTCTGGCTGGCTGTCTGTCTGTCTGTCTGTCTGTCTGTCTGTCTGTCTGTCTGTCTGTCTGTCTGTCTGTCTGCCTATGTATGTATGTATGTATGCATGCATGCATGTATGTATGTACGCATGTGCGCATGTACGCATGTACGCATGTACGTACGCATGTACGTACGCACGAACGTATGCATGCATGCATCTATGTGGATGTATGGATGTATGGATGTATGGATGTATGTATGTATGTATGTATGTATGTATGTATGTATGTATGTATGTGTGTACGTACGTATGCATGTATGTATGCATGTATGCATGCGTGCATCTATGTATGCATGTGTGCATGTGTGCATGTGTGCGTGTATGCATGTACGTATGCATGCATGCATGCATGCATGCATGCATGATGTATGTATGTATGTATGTATGTATGTATGTATGTATGGATGGATGGATGGATGGATGGATGGATGGATGGATGGATGGATGGATGGATGGATGGATGGATGGATGGATGGATGGATGTGTGTATGAGCGCACGTATGCATGCAATGTAATGTAGTTTAATGTAATGTCATGCAATGTAATGTATGCATGCATACAGACCCCCAGCACACACAGGCACAGGCGCAAAGGAGGTGAGTAAAACAGACCCAACATCTTCCCAGGCAGCAACTCAAGCCACCCCGCCCTTTGCACCAAGCCCACCTGCGGCGCATCGTGGCCTCTGCTTGCCGACCCATGGATTCATAGCCCGCACGCCTCATTTGCCGCGCCCTCTAAGCATTGCTATGCAAGCTGCAAATCCGGGAGCTTGCTTTCAGAAAAAGATGGAGACAATGGAGACAGCAATTGGTCCTCCGTTCCTGATTGTTGTTCCAAACCTGTGCAGGCCAACTTGAAGCAGTGATACTGGCAATGGCAGTTCTTGACATGACAGCCATGGCAGCTAAATGGGCGCTTTAGTTGCGCCAACATAGTGGTGCAAACGTGATGGACACATGTTGGCAAGAAATTTGCTTGCGGTGGCAAGACACCGAAGGCACGCCGAGCAAGAGTGGCAAAACGAGAATCTTATCATGATGTTCATTGGGGGGCAATACGAGCCAATTCATGACCGTACCTGTTAAATGATCCTTTCACCAATTTCTGGCCAACATCCCAGCTGTACTTGCTGTCAACTGTCACCTCCGAGTAATTCGGATCTGAGATTGGCTCCCCAACAACAGCAGGTCCGTCAGAGCTGCCCGGAGTCGGCCTGCGTCATCCTGCAACCGCCCCTTGCGCCGCGAGCATCCAGACCAAAGGCGAAGCCGAAACGTCGCTGACTCATTGCTGAAACTCACTTGCGAGCGCGTAAGAGAGGACGCCCTCCATGACCACAAACGGCCAAATTTGAAACCATACGAAGTCTGCCTCGATGTCTACTGCATCTCAAAAACAACAAATTCGCAACATGAGGGTATCGAACGTTCTGCTTCGGGCTCCTGCGCTTGCCTGCAAGCATTTGAAGGAGGGAAGGAGCCTCTCAGAATTATAGCATGCAGTGTTTCTGGGCCGGGTCCGCTTAACAGCCCAACTTGCACACAATCCAAGGCCATCAATCAAAAGAAAACTGTGACCAGTGACTATACATCAAAAATTAAGACGCAATTGCATGCCGTCCGGCCACCCTCATGCGTGTAGCTGCAAGCCACCTCTTGACAATGAACGGGACAACATGAGGCAGCGCCGTGATGACGCAGGCTTGACAAGGCAGAAGGCACGATGAAAGGCAACACATGAAGCCGGCAGCAGCGTGGAGTACATGGATATCATGAAGCAAATGCGCAAACACGATGGCCCTTACAGCAGCTGCAAGCAACTTCACAAACACGCAGCACCGACGCAGCGGCTTACCAAACGCCAAGATTCTCCAGACAGGAATATCATGATTGGCACAGCACAATTTTGGGTCATGCACAGCTGCTCACAGGCTAACACGGCCCACACAACAGCACAAAGGTCCAGAGAGAAACACAAGTTCGCACATGCAATGATTCCCAACAGCAGCCGATTGGATGAAGTAGCCCCATACAAATTCGATCAGCACGACAATGGGGATCTTAAGCTAAGAGGATGATTTGCACAACGCTAACAGACATCTTTCAGACAAACGATTCACGCAACCCAACAATGGCTCACGCACGGCGGGTTTGTTCAACACCATACTTTTGCGAACCGAACCAAATCTTTCCCTCATCAGCTTGGTTATTTGAGCACGACAGGCGCTTTGCGCCATGAAGCCATCCTTCCCGCAGAAGCAAATACAGAAACCTAACTCCAACGGCAACCATCTTTTTCCACGCACCATCGCGGTTCAGCAACATACTGGCGCGAACAGCAATCTATCGCAATGATGCGCACAGTGTTTCGGCTCGAGCGCCGCTGCATTAACACGGCCCAAACAGAATGGCCTGCACAACGGCTGAGACAAAACAGCTCCGAAATGATGCGGGCAACATCGCTCGATGGCATCTGCGTAACACGCAAGGTGTAATTCCCTCGGAAATCAAAGCAAACGCGAAATTGTCTGCGTGTGCGCAAGTACGCGATTGTGAATGCGCATTTCGTTTGTTTGGCAGAGAACAAAGGAACGAAATAACGCCGGCATGCATGGGCCACACGCCGTGGAATGCTATGAAGTTCCCAACTGCCTCATGAGCCTTCATTGATTGCACACACCACTTGACGTCCTCCAACCGGAGATATGCGACACCTCAGCCCAACCTTGCCACATGCCAGGGCCCCTGGCTACAGTGCCTGAGATCAGTGCAGGCATGCGCAACTTCTTCGTGAGGTCCAAGCGACACCTCGCATCGTCCAAGACTGCCCCTGTGGTCACGCACAAAGCTACACACGACACAACACCAAAAATCAGAATATGCCCATCGGGCCTGCAGCAAAGTGATGCCTTGTGACTCGAAGGATTGCTGCACAGCAGCCTGGCGTATTGCATAGCAGTGAGGCGAACGGTCTGTCTGCGCGCCTTGAAAGCCTGTGAAATACCTCTTGGGCCGCCTAGGACTGTGATGAGAGCCTAATGGAAACAGCTGGAGCCAAGCAAAAGCAGAAACTTTGCTCGCCTGTGGGGCTCTGCTTCTCGAGTTTTCACACAGTGGGCTTTCCTCATGGCGGCGGGTGGACCCTGGCCGCACTCAGCGCTTAAGGCCCCTACGCTGAAGAATCGCAAAGGCACGCCTTCAGTGTCCAGCAGAAGCCCAACGGCCTCGGAGCCAGACATTGGATGCGCCGACATGTCTGAGATCAAAAGCTGCCACAAAGGTTTCTGAGAAATGCCACGGTCTGCCCAAGCTCCTTCCACTGAGTTTGAAGCCTTGGCTGTTGGCAAATGGTGCGCCAGTCTTCTTGCTTCGCATGCATCTGGTCGCGAAATGCGCCAGCAACTGGCAGCCGAAGCGCTTTCTGAGGTAAAAGGAGATGCCTCGGTCCCAGCAACCGCATCACAGCTCCAATCACTGAACATGAGAAGTGCGCTGCTGGCGGTGGGTTGCCTTGCGCACTCAAACTTCTTGCAGTAAATTTATGTGTTTTTTTTGTTTTAGCCAGGCCTTGGCCAGTCTGGATCGGCATCGGTCCAGGAATCCTGCCATCCCTGCAAGGCATCGCAAGTTTGACGGTAGGCACAAGGTGACAAGTTGACCCCTCGCCCTCGCTTCGCGCGCCTCGGTATTCTCGTACTTCCAAACGCTCACTCCAGGCGTGGGCTGACGCAAGCCAACATCCCAAAAAGGCTTGCCACATTGCTTCCCTTGCCTGGTCATGGCCACACTGTGCCCAGTCTGCTTTCGCCTGGCAAATGGCAAGCTGAGGTCGGCCAGGCACAAGGTCAGCAGCTTGCCAATCGCAAAACATGTTCAGGACATGTCCAGTCGGATTCGAGCACAACGACCGAACCAAAAACACGGCCACCCAGCGGTCCAGGCCGCCTGCTCCAAGCTTCTGAAGGAAGGGTGGCCTGAGTTTTTAGCTCAGGCCCTGACAAATGAGGAAACGGACCTCCAAACGCTTTAGGATGAATGAACAAATGAGTCACACAATCAGTCCTGAACTACCACGTCCTTACAGAACTCCTGGTTCCTTAGCTCCCCTTAGGCAAACTTGGATACGCCCAGCTCCTTGGCGCCCCAAACCACCAGCTGGTGAATAATTGTCATGAGACCGAATCCAATGCAGCAAAGCCGGCCTTGCCATGCAGCGTAAATGTTGGGCCACAAAAATCTGGCCATCCTGTCTGCTGCAAGAGTGACAAGCACATGTGCCAAGCCACTAGGCTCCATGCTGCTGTTCGCTGGGCGCATTTTTGCCCACAAACCTGCAGAAGACACGCTTGCACATGGCATGATAGGTCAACAATCCGCCTCATCCAATGGCTCAGCTCATCCCCCTCCATACTGACAACGGCATCCGCCTGAGCCCAACATATGGAAACCGCCAAGTCCCGGGCTGACACGCAGGTGCGATTAAGATGCCGAACCCAGAATAGTCGGACTGCAGCATTTGGCGGCCTTTGAACGGATAGCGTTGAAAGGATACCGTAGTCTTCCGGCATTTCAGCAAGCCAGGGCACGCAACAGCCAGGCATTTGAGCAATTCGTCGAAACGACCCTTGTGCGTCCCCTGGCCAAGACAGGCACACGCGGTCGTCATCCAAGTAGTTTAGTACAACGCACGCCAGCCTGCAAGGCAACGCGTGGGCCATAAGGCCTAGAAGCGCGGCTCAACTGCTTTGGGGGCATCCCTCCCTTCTCTGTGCTCAGCCCAGCACCCGAACAACATGTAATGAGTGTTCAGAACCCACACCTCCTGGCGTCGGCGCAAAAACTGCCATTGCACGCGTCATGTTTTATCTGGCCTGTGAAGCAAAGCGCGTCTGCCATTGGTCAGTGGGAGACATCTATGAAAACGGCATTCCTATGAACAGCACGACCGCATCGTGAAAAGGCCTCTTGAAAGGCAAGCTACACATTGCAAGAACAGTTTTCAACGCACACGTTATGCCGGGACAAACCAATTCTGGCAAGGCGCGGTGCAGGTGTGCAATTTGTTTCTGCCAATGAGCGAACGTGCGCATGCAAGCCGTAAGCTGCGGCACGGGTTTTGCTTCAAGCATGTCATTTTGCCGTCCTGCGCAGCACGCAACCCAGAACACGTAAAGGCGCAGCTGCACGAAATTACTCACATTGCCCACAGAAACCAAAACACGACAACCCAGCTTGCAAGAATCAAATTCACCTGCACCCCAGATACCAAGAATGTATCAACCGACGACGTGTGGGCGCACTTAAACGGCTGTTGGCTGCAGGCGCAACGCCACAACAAAAGCACGCAGAACGGCACAGGAGAGTAGGCAAGCTCTGGTCATGGCACGCTGCCAGTGTGCGAAAACAACAGGGCTTAAGAAACTGGGTCAGTTCGGGCAAGGACCTCACCCCGAAGCTGCCGCGACCAGTTTCGGCGGGGGAACGCCACCCTCTGCGGAAAAAGGCGCGAGAAAAAAATAACATTTCAAAATTAAAAAACATCGCCTATCTTGGGAGATCATGTGGGGCGCACTTTGGGCATCATGCCAAACGAAGTGCGATGGGGAGGCAAAGAAGGGAATCAGAACGCGCTGGCCCAGAAGGGAAGGCGAAGGGGGCGCACCAAGGAGATCGGACAGGCAACCCAACACAGCCTCATCATGCGAGTGCCAGGTTTGCAGCGCCGCGTGGGAGGAAAACAACCCGAAGCCGATCCCCCGCCTTGTGTGCACTTCGACCAAGCCGGCCATACCTCTGTCCATTTTTAGGCGGAGGGCCCTGGGCACAAGGGCTGCGCAGGCTGTTTTTTCGGAGGCCAGCTTCCTCACCTGCAAGCGCTGTTTTAATGGAGGCCAGCACCCTCACACGCAAGGCCCTACCGGGCAGGCAGGCGGGACACATCCGGGGCATCCCGGACGCCCGCCAACAAGTCACTGATGGATCGCCCTTGATGCCAGCCCGTTTTTGCATGTCTACGCCGACACCTTGCTAGACTGGGCGCGCCCAGTTTTTGACTGTTCAGCCAGTTCCGCAAGACTCGTGCTTGGAATGGCTCTGGCCGTGCGTCTCCTGACATCCGGGCGCTAGGTGGTGGTGGCAAACCGGTGTGGTTTGGCGATGTGTCCTGCCGGCGGCCCAACGGACTTTGTTGCGGCTCAGTTGCATCAGCTCCGTGTCAAACAAGACACCTTGCATGCAAACCATCCGCACCCGCGTGCTTGGTTGCAGGACCGGCAACACACCAGTTGCGTCGATTAAATGCCCGTGTTCTTATAGGACCGTAGTCTTTGACTCGGAGCGAAACAACTGGTGGCGTCCTCCATGGGTGGAAGACACATCCGCACCGTGACACCGGAGAAGCCAGTTTCCTCGCTTACGCTCTGTTTGTATTTCCCCCCCCCCGCCGGCACAAAGAAGGCGCTGCCAAAGCGGCGCCCTCCGGCTCCGTGCAGCCGGCTCCAATTCTGAATTCTGGCGAGCAAACTGCGCGCAGCCGTTTCGGCCGGCGCGCTTTCACCCGCGCACAGGGCGTAAGCATCAGCCACGCCGCCGCCGGCACGATGCGGTCGAGCAGCCGTTGGTGCTCGAGCGCTTCTTACTCAAATGTTCCCGGGCGAAGGCAACAAGGCCTACAGGGGTGCCCAGAACAGGAGCGTCCCCACGGGCACCCGCAGGCTACCGTAGCCAGGAAGCTTTGGGGGAGCGCTCAGGTCGCTCAGGTCCGGGCAGGGCCCATCAAGGTTGCTCAAGCCGCCTCACGCCTGTTTTAGGGGTGTTTTCCCGGGACCGTGGCGTGGGGGACAGAAAACCCTGCCGAGTTAGCGAATTTGCGGCGGTCACGCGGCCCAGCGGTTTGACAGCCGAGATGTTGCGACCTGAGCAACTGCCTGAGTGTTTTGATGAAGCATGTCGTCCTTCCCAATATGCCTTGTCAACCTCTGCAGCATCCCACGGATTCGTGCCATACAACCATGTCAGCGGCACTGCCATGCTCCATTTGCCGGCTGTTGCTGTATGTGCGCCTTTTGCACGCCACGCCTCCTAGCTACGTGTAGGCCGACAACGCGGTGGTCAGCTCTGCTTTCTTTTGCTGCCGCCGGTGCGTTCGCTCGCAGCCTTCTCGAGCTGCCCGGCCCCAATGCGCACACGGATGTCAGCGACGTCCGGCTGACTTCTGGTACTGCGAGGTGCCCGCGCGCGGTCGTTTTTTTTCCGCGCGCCTTTTTTCCATCGCCTTGTTTCGTCCCCCCGAAAACCCTGCTTAAGGAGAGCCGCCGGGCACGGGAGGCACACAAGCCATTTGTACCCTGGGGGCCACCGGCTGTGCGAAGTGCAGCTAGCCAAGCCCTCTCGTGCCCGGTTTTCTTCTTGGGGGGGACTGTGGCAGGCGGAAAAGGCGCGTGGGAAAAAAACCGGCGCACGCCACCCTGCAATTTTCGCATTTTCGCCTTCAACCGCCCCGTGACTCTGGTGCGATCTAGCCCCCGCACATGCATGCTCTTTCGGATGGCCCGGGAGCACGCTTTCTTTTTTTTTCTGTTTTTTTGCTCAAGCGGTGAGACATCCGTCACGGCGCGTTTGCTTAGTCGATTTGCAAAAATGCGCTCCTGTGTCCCAAGGACCAAGGAATGAAAGTAGAGCTCGACGGCTGTCGTGTTTTCGGACAACTCTTTCGGAGAGTAATTGCCCGCTTCAACAAATCGCTCCCTCGGAAAGCTTGGGGCGCGTTCTTTTTTCCGTCTGCTCCTGCAGGCCATTCAATTACTGGCGGCCCCCGGATGTGCTTAGGGGGAATTAAGGGGCGCCCGCCGGTGGCGTGTGACAAGATCAGCCAGCAAGGTGCCAAGGGAGGGCAGGGTGCCACCCCCGACAATGCAAAGCTCGGGCCTGGCAGGCTTTTTGAGCCGCCATGATTCCTGCGCTGGCCCGGAGCTCGCTCTGCTTCCTGAGCACACTGCTTCCAGCCGTCGCCCTCGCCACTCCAAGCTTCCCATAGCTCAGCGACGCTCCGCGTGGCCTGGCCCTAGGCTCCGCAACCTAGTCCAGTCTGGCAGACGCCACTCGCCGTGCTTAGGGCCAGCAACCCAAAGGCTTGCAACTCAAGTTTTCAGTACCTGGGCGAGACAGCTTCAGCAATGACGGCGTTGGGGCTCGGCTGGGGGGAGCTCCAAACAAACTGCAGTTTGTTGGCTCGCGGGAATACAAGTCAGGAGGGGGGGAATATCATGCCCCATTTCGCGTTTTGTTTCCCCCCCTTAATTGTTTGATCACTTTCCGACGTTTAAAAACAAAAATGAAGAAGTGAAGGGCCAGCGGGCGCAAAGGTCACCGGAGGACTGCGCGCTGGCATCAACGGTGCACATGGACTACACTTTCTTCCTGCGAGGCTTGCCAGGCAAAGGCGCAAGACGAGGGCAGCAGCAAAGGGGGGGTTCAGGAAAAGGAGCCGTTTCCACATGTTTTTTCTTTTTTTTTTCCGGATGTGTTAACCATCGCCTCTGCTGCTACCGGTCAGACACATCTCTGACACAGGGCGCCACATCCTCAAGCTTGGGGGCGGGAAAACGCACTGCTTGTAAACGCCCCGGCCGCAGCCGCGCGCTGGCTGGCTGGGCCAGCAGCGGGTTTTCCACGCGCCAAGCGGGCGAGGAAATCCCCTCCAGGCCAAGCACGGCTAGCAGTGGCGAGCTCCGGGTAGGTTGTCCGCCGCTTCCTCTCCTCAGCTTCGCCCAGGCTCGACGTCACGTCATTGCCGGGCCGGCTAACTCCATTCCGTTGCACGCGAAAAAACCAGAGTGACATCAACGGCGACCTGGGAGCCGCCAAAAGCCCATCGCGCAGCGGCACCTCGAGGTTGAGGTCGCGGAGGAAGACATCGGTCGCGACACGCGCCCCGGCCTTGCGGCAGACGCGAGCTGGCACGCTCGAGGGGGAACGAGCCGCTCCAGCACTCCCGCTGTGGGACAGGCGGCCCTGTGGTCGCCGAGGACGTCCAGCGGCTCCGCGCACCGACTATGCTGGGGGCCGCAGCCAGCGGCAATCGCAGCCTCCGAAGGAGGAGCGCGCGAAAAACGGCATCTGTGAGCCGGAACTACGGTGGTGAAACTCCTAGCCCAGCTTGCGACAACATCAAGGCCCGGGACGCTGGATCAAGTTCACGGAATAGCGTCTCAAGGGCCCTGTGGTCGATGACTGTGCAGGCTGCACGCTGTCGCCCCACTCGCGCGGGTGCTGTGTGCGGCATGGGCGGTCGTAGCGGCTGATCTCAAACCCAAGCCGCCAAAACGAAGAGGCAATTGAGCGCTCTGGGCGCTGGGGTCGGGGAGGGCAGCTGGCAACGTCCGAGTGGTCGAGCAGTCTGGCTAGGCATCTGAGCACGGCCGCATCATGCGCCTCGGCGGTACGCGCGTAGGAGCAGGCCGCGTGGCTCTTGCGGATACGCTGGAGGAGGTCTTCATGGCGAGAACTCGCCCCGCCCAAGTGGAGTGCCCAGGATGACCAGGCCTTGACTGGCCGGCGGCAAGGCCTGATCGCCTGTCCAGACGCCGGCCCGAACGCCGGGCGGCAAAGCCTCCAGGAGGGATTGCGGTGGCTCGCCAGCGGCGTTCCAAACTCTGGTTTTGCCGAGGTTGACTCGGATGTCTGCCTGCTCGCGCAGCCCCTGTCCGAGCGCCGCGAAAGCCGGGCCAACCCGGGCTGCTGTCGGGCAAGTGACGTAAACATCGTCGAGAAAGGCAAGCAAGTTTTCGCCCGGCTCTAGAGCGCAGGGCAAAGAGGGGATCGCCCTGCTCCCCGCCCTCAGCTTGCACAACTTCATGCAGCATGCCCCCAGTCCCAACCAGCCCCAGCAAGCACAGGGCGGCCCCCAGCCAGGGGGGTAGAGGGCGGCGCTGCCATGCGCGAG